CCGGACACAATTTTCTCTTTACTTTTGGTTTTTAATAGACTGTTTATGCTTTGAAGAATTATTATTTTTTAAATTTTTTAAAAATTTAATAACTACATGATTAGAAGAAACATTTTGTTACCGCTTTAACATATTCAGTAAAACACTCCAGAGCAAGGATACATCTCTTTCAAAAGTGGCTGGATAGACCTCATAAAGGACAGTTTTTGTTCCTTGCACTCCTAGGTCGACTAGTTCCAGGGGACTATGAGCATCTCTCAAAATGTCCTATAATGGTGGTGGGTCACCTGTCCTCTTGATCAAGGAGGCTGAGGAGACCCCACCAGATGGACTCGAACCAGTGTCCAGTCTACAAAGAGGAGGGTCAACACAGAGGAATCATTTCCTCCATGCTTCCAAGCAAAGCCAACCATGGTCGAGCAGGACCTTTGACTTATCTTCACATAGGTGGAACTGGCAAAAGAAAGGAGCCAGGGGCTCCTCCCAAGCCCATGTGACCCCTGAGGAACAGATCCTCAAACGACCTTAAGAGTAAAAATAAATTGGTTTCTCTGGGCCAACTGTATGGCCTTAAACACCCAAAAGGAAAGTATAACCAAAGATTAAAGGTGCCACTATAATTTCTTAAGAGTCCATATGTATAGCTAAAGGCTACATAACAAGCAACAATGCCAGATAGGAGATACCTTCTTTTGAGCTGTTGGCCAGGGTGGCCAAAGGGACTCCCAAATAGTAGCCCAGCATAGAACTGGGAAAATGAACAGCAGACCCTAATCTTATCTAAAGGAATATTGACAACTGATTGCCGCTAGATGAGGAACAGCTGACCCTCCTAAAACAAAGACCTCTAGATAGGCTGACTGGATTCACCAGAAGGGCAAGTAGTAGGGATTGGCTGGGGTGCCAACAACACAGCAGACAGTAGCAGGGATATCAGAGTGTAAGGGCTCTAGTGGGGGGAGGGAGGCTATGGAAGGGTGCCATCTGGGAAGTAGGTATATAGTTGAATAAGATGTTTTGGGATGTTCTGTGTGATATACACACACATAAAAAAATCAAAAAGTTTAAAAAATATATTTGAGGAGGAAACATGGAAATTTACATCATGCTAAATAGTAGAGGTGCTAAACATTACCATTGAAATCTACCCGATGACTTCATAGACATACACAGGTGCCAAGGATCCAAGTGCAACCAATTATGACTGGCAATAATCAGATACACACAGAATAGAAATGAATGCGCCAACATATCAGTGTTAGTATAAAAAACAATGAGTCTTTCTGCAAGGAGCAATATATTCTAAAATGAAATGGAGATCTTTTTTTAAAGGTTAAAAAACTCATTCAATTTTATGTCTTACAGGGCTTATACTGAGTTCAATATTGTATAACTCTGTTAATTCAACTGTGAACCTAGAAACTTGCACCCACTTGTGAAAGAGATGTACTCTTGCTCTGGAGTGTGTTATTGAATATGTTAAATCTGTAGTGAAATGCTTCTTCTAATCAAGTAGTTATTAAAAATTTTTAAAGTAATGATAAAAAGTGGCTATAAATTTTCAGGTTCACAGTAGAATTAATAGAGTTATGCAATATTGAACTCAGTATAAACCCTGTAAGATATAAAACTGAATGGGTTTTTACCCTTTAAAGAAGATCTCTATTTCATTTTAAAATATTGTTTCCTACATTTTTTAATATTATTTTTTTAGAAGAAGCATATCATTACAGCTTTAATATGCTCAATAACAGTTTCCAGAGCAAAGATACAGCTCTCTCAAAAGTGGCTATGAAATGTTTAGGTTCGCTGTTGAATTAATACAGTTTACAATATTGAACTCAGTATATGTGTATGCATGTATTGCCTGCATGTAGGAAAGTGCACCCTTGTCGTGCAGTGCCTGTGGAGGACAGAAGAGACTGTCAGATCCCCTGGAACTGGAGTTATGGACAGTTGTTAGCTGCCGTGTGGGCGCTGGGATTTGAACCCGGGTCTTCTGCAAGAACAGTCAGTGTTCTTAACCACTGAGCCATCTCTCGAGCCCCAAAATTATATAACTTAAGACAGTAGCCCCTCTTTGGCATGTCTCAGTGTCCCGTGCTCTTTATAGGACATACTCCCCAAATTCCCACCCAGAACAGTTTGTTCATTTCTTTCTGGCTTCTCAGACTCTTACTAGCCACTTAAATCACTGGTTCACAGACATGCTTCACCAGGCTACTGATGCACACTTCACGTATAAGGACCAGAACTGCACAGGAAGCTGGGAGTGCATTGCCAAAGGGAAGAGCTTTGGTGATGCCCTGCCTCCAGCTACCATAGTGCTGTCAATAGTGCCTTTATAAGGAGGTTCACACATCACAGCATGTGTGATTTTTCTCAGCACCAAGGCACATGAAATAAACAGCCTGTCGCCATTATTTTGAGTACACTATCCTAATCTGTTTGCATTATTAAAACATTTCCAAAGTGTAGAGTCTTCTCTCTGAGTACTAGTCTTCAGTTTCTAAAATAATCTCTTTCATAACCTGGACTATTAAACTTACAATAGACAGGCTCTTGTGAGACCTTGTACATGCGATTTGACTTTGTTTTGGAAATTTGTCCTAGTTTCAGAAGAACAGAAAGATCTGGCACCTTCTATTTTATTTTATAGGTTCAAATACCATTGAATATCACTGTGGGGTTTGACTTGTTAAATACGTGGGTAACAGCAAGGTTTTTGCTTTTTTAATGCTCCTTTTAAGAGGAAAGCTGGATTCAATATTTATACTGCCACCAAAGTTCTTCTATTAACATGCTACATTGTAGTCAAGAGCTGTTCTAAAAGCTCATCAGGTTTCCTGAACCTTTTTAAATTATGAGCATGTAATCCAGCCTAGCACCGAGGCTACTGCTGTATTGCTTAGAGTTGGTCCCGACCATCCAGTTTTCATCTCATCTGTTATGGTCCTCTCATGTGGCCTGTAATCAGTCACTTACTGTCTCGTTGTGGCTACTTAAAAGTAGTTTCAAAATTATATTTGTTTCCCCCCTGAGTAAACTCACTTGAAAAATTTGCTTAGAGAAGGTGGTAGATGGAGTGGGGGTGCTACCCATGGTGGCTACAACTATAATCTCAGCACTTGGGAGACTGAGGCAGGAGGATTGCTGCAAGTGGAAGTCAGCCTGGGCTACTTGAAGAGACTCTGTTTTGGGGGTGGGGGGGGAGAGAGAGTGTTTTCAGATAAAGTCTAAGACTATAACTAAAAGTTCTACCTAGAAACCTCTTCTAAGGACCAATATATAGAGTGCTGCTCAATGGGCTACCAGAACAAAGAAAACAAAATCACAGTAACCACTTCAGCATCAGACAGCAGCTGTGTATATTCTGTACAGCATCTTCTCCAAGGACACAAGGCAGTGCATCATACTAAGGTGCTCTGAATGGAAAAGTAGAGAATTCCCAGAATGTTCCTTCTCAGCCCTGTTGACAAATTACCACATAGGAATACTGAAATCCATAGAATCCTGACTGCAGTGCTGTTCTTGGAAGAGCTTGGTGCCTGTGTGCAGCAGAGGTCACAGCTAACTGACTCTTTTAGAGGTTTAGGTTCAAGCTGACAGGGTTCCCTATTTATAGAAGTCCTAAATGCTCTGGTTCCAGGTCCCTGGTTTGTAAGCTGCAACTGGCTGGGTTTGTTTGGGAATGGGTTTCTGATGCTCTTACGTTTCAGTTCTTTTTAACACAGACAAACTGAATTTCTATCAAAACTCCTAAGATGATGCAGCAGGAGGGCTAGACTGAGACCAATGTGTATTCATTTTATTACCTTCCACCTAAGGTCAAGAATGTAGTTTTTGCTACATCAAATGAAATCCTACTTCAAATTTTTTACTTTCTGCTGGACTCTGAATAAGCTATCTGAAAAAGTGTGGTCTGAATGGGCCAAGTCCTCTGGTCAGTGATAAGGCAGGTTTCTTTCACTCCTGAACACCATCCAGATGTCTAGGCCCAGTATAGTTCTTGGTGTGGCATGGGACCTAGAGTCCCCTTCTCGGTGTTATTGTGTCCCTAATGAAAAAAACTTTCCACCATGGTGTGGCCTAGCTCCCATGGAAACCCCCTTCCTCCATGAAGAAAAGCACATTAGAAAATGTGCTTTTGTCACACCTGAGACTTCATCTCTCTCTCTGGAAATTGGATTGGGAAGACCATCTTAGTTATTTAAAGACCAGATATTTAAAAATAAGTCTCCTGTCACTATGTCTTCAGTGGCTTTGCAGGCCATTGTCCAGATGGGGTATCAGACATGCTCCCATGTGTGAATTTCTTGTAACGCGTCACCTTTTTGTTTTTTCCTTTCTTTCTTGTAGGACCAGGAAGAAAACAAAGGAGCTACAAGTTGGCCTGAATTCTACATTGATCAGCTCAATTCCATGGCTGCTGTAGGTATAATTTATATTCTCTGACACACAGTTTAAAATCTAGTACAAAATACACAGTTGCACAATGAATTTGATTGAGTAAGACCTTCCAGATGTCATTACCTTTGCAAACTCTAAACACTCAGTGTTTGTGGAGAGGAAGGAGAAGAGGGCTGAAGTGTTACTTGGCAAGGTTACCTTTCTAGTGTGTTTTAAATACAGTATAATTGACGTTAGTGTTATAAGAAGAAATCTAATCTGAAATATGGCTCATGTTCAACTTCAGCTTGCTGTTGCTCTAGCTAATTATTTAGAGCTTTGCAATACTTCTGTAAAAGTGGGCATCACTGACCAGTAGTGTGACTACACTGTGTCTTCATAGCCTCTTGCCATTCTCTTTCCTGCTTGGAATGTGGCTCCTTCCTGGATTCTTGACTTTACAGGGGATCAGCATGCTCTTTTCTCACTAAAATAAAGAATCATAAAATAACTTGATGAGGCAACATAGTAATCATTATGTTCTTGAAAAAGCCTTGGTCCATGGCTTTGGAGTTCAGTTATCACTTAAAATGCATTGTCAGTATCTAACTCTGAATTCTGCTGATGTGGATGCTTTTGTGATGCTAGTATTCCAAGCAGTTTGAAGGGTGTCTGTTAATCACAGCAAAATTCATAGCAGAAAATAAAGCTTCAGCCTTTGAGCCTTAATAGTTTAAATGAAATTACCATTGATTGAGGCTGACCACAGTCTATGCCTTACTAGTCACACTCATGATATTAAGAAGTGGTTATATCCAGAGGCTGGAGAGATGGCTCAGCGGTTTCGAACACTGACTGCTCTTGCAGAGGACCCAGGTTTGATTCCCAGCACCCACATGGCGGCTATGAACCATCCTTAACTCCAGTTCTAGGGGAATCCGAGGTCCTCTTCTGACCTCTGCAGCATTGCACAACATGGGCGCACTCACGTACATGCAGGCAGTACACTCATGCACACAAAATAAAAATAATAAATAAAAAAATTTTTTAAAAAGACCACACATTAAAAAAAGAATTGGTTATATCCAACTTTAAGTTTATAATATCCAAAGAGAAGATAGCTTCCACAATGCACGTCTCTAGTTCTTTCATGTCTTCACCCAGATCCTTACGGAGAATTCATCTCTTACCATTTCAAGCAAACCTTTAAGATCGTCCAGCATTTTGCTGCTGCTGCAAAAATTAAAAACTGACTAGAATATGTGAATCCTCCAGTCTTTGATAAACTTTGAGAGGCTTTGACTTTTAGTAACTTCCCCCTCTTTTCGCTGTTTCTCTGAAGATGCCTATTCTGCTGTTGTATATTGAATAATAAACAGCCTGGGAAATGTGAACAGGACTGTATAAATTATAAAAGAAATTGCATACGTTTTTGCCTTAAGGGTTTCTATTCTTAAAGCAGAAAGGAAGAGAAAATAACCACAAATCTTATTCAATGCTCTGTGTGCCGTGCCAAAGACAAGCAAAGGGTGATCTCAGCATTTATGTGGATATGCTGACAGAATATGAGATTTCTGATGACCACCAGGAATTTTCTGTGCATCTATATAAGCAGTAATAATTGGGAGCCATTTAACATTTCTTGCATGTAAAGGCTATTTTGTGAATTCTTGTTTCTATTGTAAAAATAACTGTCAGGGCAGACTGTCCCTGTAATTAAGTCAGTGTTGTTTGATGTCTAACAAAAGAAATGCTTTGTTAATGAATTCCCTGCTCTAAATGAAGAATATGAAGTGTTATGGTTTATTCTTTCTTCAGATGTTAGGATAGTTATATTAGTTTGTCCCATAATGACTTTTTTCCTGCCTTGTCTGGAGTAGGCTTATCCTTGAGGTACAGGACCTGTGATGAACAGTGTGTGACCTTTCTTCAAAATCTTCCCTTCCTCCAGTCTCCTGGACAGCTCTTTGCTACATTTTTGAGTGGCCTACAGCTTAACTGATTGGTTCCTAATCCAAAGTCTTTCCCCAGGAAGGGCAAGGCTATTAGATTGTGGGACTTTGCTGTCCTTTATGTGTCAGACACCTAACAAAGCTTTCTAATAATGCTGCTTCTTTTAGAACTGAGCCGTTATCTTTCCAGAGTCAAAGATAAAAGGCATTAACTGCCCATGAACTAACCAAGCCTCAAAACTCTGGCTTACTCAAAAGAGCCAGGAGACCAGTGATACCAGAAACCCTGTTCTGTTTGTCTCACCATCCTGGTTCCTGGTGGCCCAACTCTTCCTTGCAGAGTTCTAGCTGTGGCCCTGACATCTGTGCTGAGATTTCCCCACAGCACACAACAGAAATTGTGAGACACTGTCGCTCAGGACAGGACAGTACCTAATTCCTCCAAGTCCTTACCGTTCCAGGAGCCAGACTCTGTCTCTCTGCTTAGACCGATGAAGAGGCCTTTGACCATGGTGTCATCATCTGTGGCATCAGTGGCAGCGACCACTGTTGAATGGGTGGCATGTGATCAGGAGTGTAACAGATACTTTGCATCTTGACCACCACACTGTACTAAGAGTACTATTTACAGTCAGAAACTGAGACTCCTGAGGAGCGTTACTTTGCTCAAGGTCATCTCATTAGGAAGTGGTCATCTAATTAGGGATTTAAACTGTGTCTGAGTGCAAAGATGCCTTTCAGTTTGCCTCTCAATACCTCGGAATTTAAAGCTGAGTGGCACATGAAAAAGGCCTGGGTGACTGAACACTTCCCTGCCCCCCAAGCAGACTCTGTGGACACTGACAACTTTCCTGAGAGAGAGCAGGCATCTGTTTTCTTTAATGCCTCAAGAGTCTGATAAACAGTCCAGGTTGAAAGCTGCCACACTTGCTGTGAAACCAGCCTTTTGTGGAACAAGTTAAGTTACTTTACATAAGCCTCATAACAAGAATGCTTTGTTCTTTACAGGACCCTTGAGTGATCTGTTGGCTTTCAAAAAATTAAAAACAAAAAATCCCTCTGTGATAAAAGAATACAACCTAACAGGCTTTAGGTCTGGAGGAAAGCATGAAAGGACGTTCAGTGTGGCTGGCTTATGAGTTTCATACTGAAGAAATATTTCAAGCTAGAGCTTCTGTCCCATTCCCAGCCAAACAGGATATCTGTGCCACATTTGCGTATTATGTTCTAACGTGTACTTCGACAGCTTTCCTGGAAGGCCCTCTGCCAGTGTGTACTTTTTCTTTTGCCCGCTTCCTGTGTGAGCCATCATAAGGCTTGTCCTGTGAATGCACAGGTACATACTGTTTGTTTGGCTTAGAGACTATTTCTAGAAATATAGGCCTATCTCCCTTATCTGCTAAAAGTTGCAAATAAAACCTCCTTCTTTAAAGCCCGAAAACTTGAGATTCTATATAAAAAGTAGCATTAGAATGCCAGGTTCATCCATTTTCTTCACACAACAAATGCAGTATTGGATCCAAGTCTGACTATTTCACATAGAGAGATGGTCATGGTTCTTCTGGTTTGAGAGGAAGGCAATGAATCAATGAATTCTCCCTATATTAGGAAGTTCCAATGTAAGTTTCTATGGCATTTCATGAATCTCCCCAACTCAGGCTGGGGAGGGGAGACTTAATGCTATCTGTTCAGGTGCTCCATCCTCTTGGGTTACTAAAAGGCTAAGTACACACACCTTCATCTTGTATTAGTGACCCACAATAAAACACATAGTCTTTCATTTCAGAATGGTTTTGTAAAATTAAGCTCAAGAACAAGGAGTGATATTCATTATAAAAGTCCTGACTCTGAGCTGCAGATTCAAAGCAATTGCTTAAGACTCTGAAGGAGTTCAGCTGCCACTGGAGATTAAACATCCTTGACTGGATTTGTGCTGATTTTTCTGCAGGATGAGTCTCATGGTGCTTTGGAGGAATTCATTGGCTGATTCTGCATATAGCTTCTTCCTCTCCTGTCCTCTGGGGACAGCTGTTGAGACATGTCAGCAGCAAGAGGACAGCTTCAGCAGAACAATGACAAGTTACAAAAACAAAAATCCTACCAAGTTTCTTTCTCACATGCCATAAATGACACTGATGTGTTAGTCATCTTCTCTAGGCCTTACCCCTCTCATCATAAGGCCAAATTTAGGTTTTAATTAGCATTTAGTTACTTCATGTTGATGCTATTGATTAAAAAAGAAATGCTTAAGTCTCCCTCTGGTCATTTATGACCTTGAAACAAAGGGAGAGGCTGGATCATTGAGACCAAGGATAAGAGTCAAGCTTTTCTTTCTTTATGGAGTCACCTGGCTGTTTCCCAACCCAGCCTTTTATCAGAGTTGGTAAGAGGTAAGGCAAGAGAGACAAGCATGTGTTCAGTTGAAGAAAAGGGAGTGGAAGCTCCATGGCTAGAGGCTGCTAGAGCTGGAGATGGGGCAGGAGGGGTGTTTGAGTGAGCCAGGCAACCATGGAATGAAGGGAATCAAAGGACTGTAAACCTTTCAGGTGACTTTGTGTCACCTGAAGGCTGCCTAGATAGTGTTTTAGTTTCTTTCCCTGTTGCTTTGATAAAATACTCCAAGAAAAGTAACTTAAGGGAGAAAGGGTTTATTCTGGGTCACAGCTCAAGGGCACAGTCCATCATGGCAGGGACATCAAGGGTAGCGAGAACTTGAGGAGCTGGTCACATCACACATCTGAAATCAGGAACAGAGTGTTGAATGCATGTTTGCTTTCTTCATGTACCAGTCCAGATTCCACTGCCCAGGGAGTGGTCCTACTCACTATTAAGATGGATCTCCTACGTCAGTTAATGTAATTAAGATAATCTCCCATAGGCATGCCTGGAGACCCGTCTCTCAGGTGATTCTAGGTTCTGTCAGGTTTACAATTCTGACCATCAAGTATGGGTCCGCAGGTAGCATACTTGTTGCTCAAGCATGAGAACCTGAGTTCAAATCCCCAGCATCCACGCAAAAAAAGATGGACATAGACACATACGCACATATAACCCCAGCACTGTGAGGATTGGAGACAGGACAATCACTGGGGTTTGCTGGCTGAAAGCCTAGCTCCAGATTCAGTGAGAAAGACCCTCTTCTGAGGAGAATAAGATGGAGCCTGATAGAGTAGGACATAAAACATCCTCCTCTGGTTTCCATGCACATGAACTTGCACACTCATGTGTAAGCAAGACACATACACACACACACAGACATGTAAATAAGTCAATTAATTAATTAATTAATTAATAAGGTTACCTGAGAGGTGCTTACTTAGAACCTTACTCCTGTAGCATCAACATTACCTAGAAATTTTTGCAGGTCTTCAGCAGCTCAGGCCTTACCTCAGACCTGCCACATCAAAGTGAGTCAGAGAAGCTCTTCTGTAGCTTCTCTCTGGGCAAAACCCACTCCCCTCCTTCTTCCTTCCATACGTTGTTTTCTAATTGATGTTGAATCATTTCAGGAACTTGCATTTACTTTGAAAGTGGAATCCTTCTTGATATCAGAGTCAATTTAATTGTTACCTTTAAAAAATAAATCTTAACCTTATAAAACATAATCCTGGGTCTAGAGAAATGGCTCAGCTTTTAGGAGCACTTACTGTTCTTCCAAAGGACTTGGGTTCAGTTCCCAACACTCACGTGATGGCTAACACCCGTCCTTAACTCCAGTTCCAGTGCCTCCAACTCTCTTTTGACTCCTGTGGACACCAGGCACATATGTGGTGCACTTACATACATGCAGGCAAAATACTCATGCACATGAGATAAAAATAAAATTTTTAAAATTTTTAATATTTCATTTTTCAAGTGAGAAATAAGGTGCATAGTATGGGAAAGTTCCTGTCTCCTTCCTCTACTCATGTGATAGTTTTACCTTTATTTGCCAGAACGATGCACTCAGCAGCTCAATCTTCTTTCTATCAAATATAAATAGTAATATCTATATCAGGGTGTCATTGTAGAATAGTTATACAAATGTTTGAGCAACTTAATCTTTTCTAAAATTTCTAAACATTTTTAAAAGTTATTTAAATTTGGATGGACTGACTTATAGTAAAGACAAAAATTTATGGAATGGTTGGTGGTATTCTACATTTATACTTGTACTAAATAGTAATCATAGATGTGCTGATTATTTGTAATAAAAGTGATGTAGCATATAGTCTGTGAGCTTACCTTGTTTGTACAATAATTAAAACATAATATTTAAAGAAGTAACTTCTGTTTTCTTTTGTAGAGAAAATCTCTGCTGGCTTTAGAGAAGGAAGAAGAAGAAGAGAGAAGTAAAACCATCGAAAGTTTAAAGACAGCCCTGAGGACAAAGCCAATGAGGTGCCTTTCCTCTCCTTTCCTCTCTCCTTTCCTCTCTCCTTCCTCTCTCTCCTTTCCTCTCTCTTTCCTCCCTCTTTTCCTCTCTCTTTCCTCTCTCCTTTCCTCTCTTCCTCTCTCTTTCCTCTCTCTTTTCCTCTCTCTCTCTCCTTTCCTCTCTCCTTCCTCTCTCCTTTCCTCTCTCCTTCCTCTCTCTCTCCTTTCCTCTCTCCTTTCCTCTCTCTCTTTTCCTCTCTCTCTCTCCTTTCCTCTCTCTCTCCCCCTCTCTCTCTCTCCTTTCCTCTCTCCTTTCCTCTCTCTCTCCTTTCCTTTCTCCTTTCCTCTCTCTTTCCTCTCTCACCCTTCCTCTCACCCTTCTTTATTCTGCACTAGTCAAACCTTCCAGGAACTTTAAATTTAAGGTATGTAACTGAACCATGAGTGGATACTTAAATCACTGAGCATTTGGTAAGTTCTTTTCTTTGAATGATAGGCAGACAGTTACTAGGATAGACAAAATTTTAAAGGGAGGAAAGGGAGTGAAAGAGGGTCAGAGCAAAAGAGAGATGGGAGAGAGAGAAATAGAGAGATTGAAAAAACAAAGATGGTGAGATTGTGGAAAACTTGAGACCCTCATTCCTTGCTCTTGGGAATGTCAAATGGTATAGCCATTTTGGAATTTAGAAAGGCAACTAGTTCCTCAAAATGTTAAACATGGTGCTATCATATGGCCCAACAGTTGTCCTCCTAGGTCTGTAGATAAGGGGAAAACTGGTGCACAAATGTTCATATAAGCATTTTTCAAAATGATAAAACAAAGGAAAAATAGAAATGACCCATATCCCCATGAACTGACAAACAGGTAACTAAATGTAGTATATCTGCACAGTGCATTGAATTGTGCTCCTTAAATCAGTGAATTTTATGGCATGTGAACTATATGTCAATAAAACCATTATTAAAAATTAAAAAATGGGCTGACTTGCTGGCAAGTGATTCATTCCTCTCTAGTAACCATTTCCATGCTGTGCCTCCTCCATCATCAGTCCCCATTAAGGCCTCTGGGATTGGTGAGGTTCTTCCAGGAATATTTCATTATCTCAGGTGCTGTGAGTGAAGCCAACTCGTTTAAGGGTCATGTGGTTGGGTGGGACGGTTCAAAAACAACAATTGCCTTTCTTTCCTTGATAACGAAATGCAAACTAAAAAACAAAACATTACTGATTCATCAGAACCACTGTGCAGGTGTGGACAGAGGTCTGCCAGACCATGCTAACTATAACCAGCTCATTACTTCACAGTCTGTTCTGCACTCCTGGGAGTGAGGGGCTATCCAAAGGTAAACACATTGGAAAGTTTTCGGGTAGTCAGGAAACAGGTTATGTTATCTCTGGGCCTTTCAGAAGCTTTGACACGCACATGTGCACTGTGAATTCCCATCGATTTCACAGTAAATGTTAAAAATATTGCTAAAATTAATTCATAGCAATGAACCATGACTCTTACCTGTTTTATATATTAGGATTATATGTATCGTGTCATGTAAAAGAAAGGTTTTGCTACAAAACTAGGAATAAATGGAGTCATTTATTTGATGAGCAAATGTCTTGGAATTGAAAGACGCTGCTCTTTGACTTTCCTGGATAGGGGGCCATGGTTAGACCCAATAAACAGCACCACTTGGGAACTAGATATTCCAATAACTCAGATCATCAGATTGTTTTAAACTAACACAGGATATATATGATATATATTCTAGGTATAGCTCCATGGTAGTGTGTTTGCTTAGCATATGTGAGGCCCTAGGTTCCATCCCAACACCAGGGAGAGAAAAAAAAAATGTATACACACACACACACACACACACACACACACACACACACAGAGTGACTGCTGCTTCTGGCTTTTTATGGATATGTGATCTTTCATTTGGTTCTTTGTACCAGTTAAGGTATAATAGACTAACCGTTGTCTGTGCCGTGGAAGAAGCACAAGACCTCATTAGTGTAAACCTTTTGGTACTTCAGAAAATAAGTCTACTTCTTTTCCCCTAGACTTTTCTAGTAAGGGCTGTTATGAACCACCCCCCCACCCCCCCCCATGACTAAATCTAATTGCTTCTTTTCCTGACAGGTTTGTAACTAGATTCATTGACTTGGATGGCCTGTCATGTATTCTCAACTTTCTGAAGACAATGGACTACGAGACCTCTGAGTCCCGTATACATACCTCCCTTATTGGCTGCATAAAGGCACTAATGAACAACTCTCAAGGTCGGGCTCATGTCCTGGCTCATTCTGAGAGTATTAATGTAATTGCTCAGAGTCTGAGCACAGAAAACATTAAGACGAAGGTGGCCGTGCTGGAAATCTTGGGCGCCGTGTGCCTGGTTCCCGGGGGCCACAAGAAGGTTCTGCAGGCAATGTTGCACTACCAGAAGTATGCCAGCGAGAGGACCCGCTTCCAGGTACCTGCTCACCGGTACCTCTCCCCTTACCCTTGCCTTGTCTTCATGGAAACAGGTGCCCTTTCTGGCCCTGAAGGAAAATATTACTTGATACACACA